TGGGGGGGTCCCAGGTGGTGTGTGACAGCAGCTCACCACATCCTGCCACCCAGCAAGGCAGGAAGCCTGGGGGGCGGGGGCGGGGGAATCTCAGAGCGCGAGGGGGTCATGTAACTTAATAGCACCAGCCCCATCTCTCGCCCCTTCCGGCTGAGGGGCTCGAGGTGCAGCGCAGACAACACAGCCAGGCACCCGGGGGGAGAATGCGTGTGGGGGAAACTGAGGCACAGGGGGTGACTTGGTGGGGTCCACACAGTGACAGTGGCAGAACTGGGAAAACCCACCCCACCCCACCCCACCAGACCTATTCCCCTCCCTGAGCTGAGGATAGAACCCAGGTGTCCTGCCTCTAAAACCCCCCCCCCCCATGGTAACCCACTAGAACCTCCCCAAGCCGGGGATAGAAGCCTGGAGTCCTGGGTCCCAGCCCCTCCTGCTGTAACCCACCAGACCCATTCACCTCCCTGAGCTGGGGATAGAACCCAGGCGTCCTGCCTCCCAAGCCCCTATTGTGGTTGTTCGGTTTGGTGCTGCTCTGTCCTGCAGTGAAACCGGCGGCTTTGCCCTCTCAGGAGCTAGTACCACGGGGTCTGGCGGGGGTGGGGGGGGATTCCCAGCTGTCTGTGCAGCCTGGGCTGTGCCCATGGAGTATGTATCCCCGTGGGTCCCTCTGCCTCCTGGCACAGACAACCATGGGCACCAGCCACGGGGCCAAGCAGACCAAGCCCTTCCTCCCCCCCCCCCGGGCACGGCTGGGCTGGGCTGGGCTGAGTGCAGGAGCTGCTGGCGAGGATGGGAATGGGGGACTGTCCCCCGCCTTGCCCACCAGCTCCCCTTGCAGGGGGTCACACCCGTGCAGGATTATGGCTCTTATTTGCCAGACTTGAGAGGGGGCAGCGTGAAACCCCAGTGGCCCCTCCCTGGGGTGGGGCGGCAGGAACGGCTCTCAGTCCCCCCTGCCCCCCGCCTGCTACACCCATGCCTCCCAGCCTTGCAGCTGGGCTGTGCACCCGTGTAACTGCTTGGAGAGATGGTCAGTGCAACAGAGAGGATAAAAGACCTACTACCAGTGCTGGCCGGGGGAGCATTCCCATAGCTCAGGGGGATGAGGAATGTGCGGAGGGATGGGGGGACCCAGTCCAGCTGTGTCTGTGGGGGCCATTTGCGAAGGGCTTGGGGGGGCGTAATGGTGAAAGCCCCCCAACCCCCAGACGTCCCATCCTCCACTGCTCACGCTGCGGTTTGTCACCCTCTGCAACAGGAAACCATCAATGAGAAACAGATGAGATAATCGACGTTAGCAGCACGTCTTGCACGTCCCGGGGGGGGGGAAGGGGTGGCGAGCAGTGCGGGGGGGTCTCCTGATAGCACCCCATCCCCAGGGGCTTGGAACTGACCATGGGGATCACCCCCTGCTAGGGAAAAGCATCAGGCGGGTGCCCCCCGCTGCTCTGCCAGTGGGCCCCAGGGTGGGCGAGCGAGCTGGGCTTACCCAGCAGGTGCCCTGGGTGGTGTTGGCCCATGGGGATGGGAAGGGATCTCGGGGGGGGGGACAGCATGTTGGGGGGAACAGAATTGGGGGGAGGTGCCCCCCGGCTGCTCACGCTCGTGGGCTGACTCCCCCTCCCCCCTCCAGGACTTCACCAAGACGGGCGAGTCGGATGCCACGCGCTGTGCCACGCGGGAGGAGCTGCTCCGGCGCGGCTGTGCCCTGGAGGAGGTGGTTGAGCCCCGGGGCCGGCACCAAGTCCTGGAGGACGCGCCCCTGAGCGACAGCGCCGAGCAGGAGACAGTGACCCAGCTGGCACCCCAAAAGATCGCCCTGTGGCTCCGACCTGGTGGGTCCCAGTGGAGGGGGGAGGCTTGTGGTTGGAACCGGGCCCCAGGCCAGGCTGGGGGGAAGCGCGGTGCTGGGGCCCAGCTGGGGAGCTGGGTCTTCTCCGGCCTCCCAAATCCCCTGCCTGGGGCTGCTGATGCTGAGGCAGAGGGCGTGGGCCTAGAAATACAAGCGCTGGGGAGGTAGGGAGAGACAGTGGGATGTGGGATGGATGGATAGATCGAGGGGATGGATGGACAGGTATGTATGGGGTGGGTGGGGAGACAGAGGGGTATGTATGGGGGTGGGTGGATGAGTGGGTAGGGGCATGAAGGGGGCTGGGTGGGTGACTAGAGAGGTGGGTGGGTAGATGGGTTGGTGGATGGGAATGGAGGGTACATGGCTGGATAGAGGGGGATGGATGGGGATGGATAGATGGGTGGATAGAGGGGTGATGGATGGATGGATGGATGGATGGAGAGGGTGATGGGTAGGTAGAGGGGTGGGGCGGATGGATGGGTGGAGGAGTGGGTTGGTGGATAGAGGGGTGGAGGAGAGGAGTGGATGGATGGAGGGATGGGGTGGGTGGATGGATGGATGGGAGGATGGGGAGGAGGTGGGAGGTGGCTGGATGGGTAGGTGGATGGGAGGATGGGGAGGAGG